AGGATGTGTGGCTTATAGGCTGGGCACACACAAACACTTGTAGGTGCTGACAAGACACCATGCCTCCCCTTTGCAATATTATTTTCTCTTTTTCTTCATAAGCGTTAGCTTTTTTGTCATTTTCTAATGTCTACATGTCATTTAATTTGTATTATCCAGATGGCAATAGACAGTTTTCCTTGCAAAGACTCCATAATATCTCTTAAGGTAGTTCACAATAAGTAATATATTGTTAGGTGTACATTTTTACCTTCTTAATATTAAATTTTCAGTAATACATCTTGTGCCAGATATAGGATCTTGAGCAGGGAAATAGCCTCCTCCCTAGAGCCTGTGTTCTAAAAGTCCCGTCCTAAATGCCCATTGATTCTAATGACCCTCCAAGAGCTTTTTGCACTTGTGGCGAGTCATTCCCATCACTCTGGGTTTCCGCCAATATTCTCATGATGCTAGTTATTGTCACCCTAGCCCACAGCTAGACTTTTCTATGATGTGATGATTAGGTCATATGGATCATAGGGGTTAAGCATAATCATCAGAACATAGATAATTTAGGAGGTCTATTGCAAAAGTTTTGTGTGTCTCAAAGGGGGGGAGGGGGAATCAGTCACGTGATTATAAGAGAATGGAAGACATTTCTGGATGAACATGTGTCTCTTCTATTTGCACCATAGCACATTCTTTAATAATTATTGATATTGTAATTATTATTGATATTATTACTCGTAATATTATTTGTCATTTTTGTAATAAGTGATCCAACTTTATAACTGTTCAGGGAATAATTTCAAATCATATTACTTTCAGGTACCAGTCGCAACAAAGCACTGTCACTGCGGGCACCAATTTTTCGAGGAGAGACGCCGGTCAACCACCTCAAACACCTCGGAGGTAGAGGAGATTGACGACGGCCAGCTGAAGGAGATGAAACCAAGCAGGGGATCAGCTACGTCAACTGCAGTTAGCGGAATCATGTCTCTAACGGCATCAGTGGGCAAGGGAGACCTGGGCTCGTCAGCCCCGGAGGGCAAGCGTCGTAGTGAGAGGGTCAAGCGGGAGAAGCCCAACTTCTATGATGCCTTGGAGTACGAGAATCAAATGAGGAAGGTAGGTTGCTATGGAATTTTTGTAAGTTTTAAGGATGCCTTTTCAAATAATGTTCAAGAAAATGTTTGTGTCTATTTGCGCAGGACTAATTGTTATTTGTGTATACATCATGCTGTAGGGTGGTATATTTTTTTTCTCTTTTCTCAGACACACACACACATACATACATACATACATACTATGTGCACATGTATATCATTTTTAAATGACCCTCCATATAATATGCACAAGAGACTAAGCTCTTCTTTGCCCTGCTCCCCCCCTCCCCATGCTACTCCCTAGGCCCGGAAGGAGAGACAGAAGGAAGAACCTCCCAACCCCACAGGACGGGTGAAGCGCGAACGGAAAGTGAAGAACAACTCAGAGCCGGTTAGTGTTACCATGTATCGCTATAACAAGGTCAGTATCCAGCCCAGGGGAAGGCAGGCAGGCAGGTGTCCCAAAGAGGAGAATGCCCTCCCCCCAAGAGAGGAATGCAATCAGTTGTTATAAGCGATGGCGTTTTGTAAAATCGATGTAAGAACTCCATAGATATTGAATCGGCAGTCGCACGAATCCTATTTCTTTTTCTTCATTATTTTATCTTTCTCCATTTTTTTTATTTATTTATTATTATTATATTTTTTTTTACACATCCTTAACAATCTTATTTGAACTCTCTACATATTAGCTTTCACTAATATATAAGAATCCTTGCACCTTATCCTTCCCCCACCATAAGATAATCCGAAATTGGTGCTGTAATGCATCACATGTCCCAAGTGTGACTTATATGCACTCCAACCCTCCCACTAGCTAATCTTCATGAATACTCTTAGTATATAACGTTATATATTATATATATATATCTTTAAGGTCTGACAGATCTCGACAGCTAATGACCTCGGCAAGAAATGGACGTGAAATGACATCTTTGGGACAACCTCCTAACCTTCTTTCACAGAAATTTTCTACTTTTTTCTATTGGTTGTTTAGGCTTTACCATTTCTTACATTATCAACAAACAAATAAGTGAATGTAGTCTTGAATGATTGCCTTGTATAATCTATAAATCTCTTATCTATATACTCAATTTCCTTATTTCTTGCTGAAAGGAATGTGCTGCTTCAGTTGTAAATGATGAATACTTGAAAATATCCTTATGTGATATGCTTTTACCAGTTTGTTGCAGACATGACAATTGAGGTCAGATACCTTTTCCTCTCTCATTTGGTTAAAACAGCTGTTCTCGCTTGTTTGAAGATATTGGTAACATCTCTTATGATTTTCATACACACACTACGGATTTCAGATTTGGTGATGGTGATCAGAGATATAATGATATTGATTGGCAGTACATCAAGAAATGTTTATTACAAGAAATATGTTTGCTAATCAGTGGCTCGTTAATATATCTTCTTTGGAGGCTTGAGGAATACAAGTGCATGATTACAGTAATAAGTTATTTTATTTTCTACTTTTCTTTTGGGGAAGGATTAGCAATGCATGAATTTCTGTGAGTATGGTTGTTTGCATTTCATTTGCTTGGATTTTAGTCTTATAGATTGTCCCCTTGCCTTTGGTTTATTTCAGTTACTAACATTTGTGTGCGAAGATGACTCTATGCTTTGCCTTTACAATGTTATTTTCTCTTTATGCATAAGTATTTTTAGCTTTTTTGCAATTTTTCAGTCCATATTTGTTATTTGATTTGCTTTTTCCAAATGGTCATTGACTTTATAGTATCTCTAGATAATCTATAACTCGGCCTTCATCTGAAATGCTCGTGATGGCTAGTTCACATCACCCCAACCCATAGCCAGATATTCCCATGACGGCTTGATCAAGTGACCCACCCTTCAAACCTTAACCTTACGATCATCCAGATCATAAGGGTTAAGGTAAAAAAATACAATAGCACAAAATACAAAAACATGCACACACATGCACATACACATACATGCACATACACATACATGCACATACACACACATGCACATACACACACATGCACATACAACACAATGCCACATACAACACACATGCACATACACACACATGCACATACACACACATGCACATACACACACATGCACATACACACACATGCACATACACACACATGCACATACACACACATGCACATACACACACTGACATGCAACATACAACACACACATGCACATACACACACATGCACATACACACACATGCACATACACACACATGCACATACACACACATGCACATACACACACATGCACATACACACAACATGCACATACAACACACATGCACATAACACACACATGCACATGCACACACATGCACATACACACACATGCACATACACACACACACACAACACACACACACACCACACAGTAACAGTCTGTTGGTATGCTCTAGAACAGGGCTAAATTCTTTAGAATATTTGTTCATTTGAGCGGCCGGTTTCATTTTATGAGCAGTTGCAAGTTTATTTGGTATACTCCAAATATGGCATCATTCAGTAGAGCAGGCTGGAGGCCATATAGATATTTTTCTGAGGTTGTAGACTATGGCCATTCAACCCATCAACGGTTAAAATTTTTGCTAGTGAGCCTTTGATGTGGGATTGTTGGTATACATCAGCAGTTTCCCCATTAGCATCTGGCTGGTTCTGTAGTTTGCAAGGAACATTAAGCACCTTAAAACTTATGTTGTGATATCATTTATTTATTTATTATTATTTTTTTTTATGTGGAAGTTTACCTTTACTTGTTATTGGTGTATTGCATAAAAGTTTTGCCATGCAAATGGTGCCAAAAAAAAAAAATTGTAAAAAAAGAAGCTCCTTCTGATGAACCAACGGCATGGGAATGATTGTGATGCGATGCCACTCGCTACTTGCTCTACAATAGCCATGTATGTACAGTTACACAGAAAACTATCGTTAGGAGGGATGTCAAAAGATTCAATAATGAACAGAACCTTTTGATATGGAAGGGTTGGTATTTTGGGTTTTGAATTTGTCTAGTTCTGATCCGTGTCTCGAATAGTCGTTCTGGAATTCATATGCATTTATATTCCTGTAAGAGATAGAATATACCTGGCAATGTTCAGATAAGCCATACACACTCAAAAGCAGTTGGAAAATCAGGGATACCATCCGTTTGGCAGCATTAACAACTAAATTTCAAAAAGTATCATTGCTCATTCAAAATGTTTAGCATGGTTTTCTAACAACATTTTTCTGTGTAGCTTTACATGCCACCAGGTGGATGGGGTTAATACTTCATGAATGATAGAGTTAGAAATCTGACTGTGGTTGCCTAATGTGGTCATGGGTTAAAATTGTTATATTTTGTTCAACTTGGAAAGCTACAAAAAATTATTTAAAAAAAAGCAATATTATTAAATAAACTAACTTTAAGAAATTTAAAAATCTGTTCCTTTATTGTTAATATTGATTATTATTATTGTTAGTAGTATTAGTAGTAGTAATAGTAGTAGTAGTAGTAGTAGAAGATGGCTCCATTTGAGTATTAATAAATGCTTTTAAGCAGTTGGATTGTTGTTTTTAAAAATGCTGTTCACGCACATGGTATTTCTGAAGATTATAGATAAAGGGATTTTAAAAAATATGATCTGTTTTATAAGCTAAAAGTTGAAATTTGCACTTGCATCTCATTAAATAAATTATATCATCTCTGTTGTTATTTAAATAAGGTTATAAAATTGCCGAACAAAGAAGTTTTAAGGCAGGGGTTCTGAACCTGGGATCATAAACCACTAAAGACAGTAAAGAAGTTACACATTTTATCCAAGAAGTTTTTTAAAAATGATTTTGATATTAATGATTACTTCATTTAAATCTCTCTATCTTGTTGCATTGCATGGGTAATTATTGTAGTTCTGGTAGTCAATATAGGCCATCTTGTGTTTATGAGGTGCGATCTTGCTGTTGCCAAATCTGACAGGATAGTCTTTTTATAGTTCATAAATTTATATATGAATTTCTTTGCATACTTTGAAAATCAATTTGACAAAACTATTTTGATTCCAAATACCAATAAAGTCTATGTTACAACACAAAATGTTGAAGAGAAACATTTTTGTTATTAAGATTTACCTTTTCAATTTGTGTTATGCATTCATTCTTCAAGTGTTCAGATAGTTGCAGCTATGCATATTGAGATTTTTTTTTTTTTTTTCTGGGAGATGGTCATTGCCTTCCTCAAAACTTCTAAAGGGTTCATGACAACAAGAAAAAAGAAAGAAAGAAAGAAAGAAAAAAAATTATAATAATGCACTCTGTGTTAACATTAAATCCTAAACTATAAACTGTATCATGTTGGTTATCATTTTTACACTGTTCCCACTCTTCCTTCTTCTGTTCACACTACAGGTATAAACTCGGATATCTTTTTTTCTTCCGGTTTCAAATACTTATTTAAGGTTGCAAAACATTGAAAGAAGTTTTATAGTGGCTTAAAATTTCAGGAAGAGGAAGAAGATGAAGAACCAGTGAAGGAAAAGAAGAAGAAGAAGAAGAAGAAGAATAACAACAATGGCGAGAAGAAGGACAAGGAAGAAGAAGTGGACGAAGACATCATGGCAGGCATCACAGCAGAGAAGGAGATACAGTTCGGCATTGTCTTATCAGATATCAACTTCAAGCTTGGCCTAAACAACCCAAAATTTATCAAAATTTGAATGCCTTTCATCTTTTGAGAGAAAGTGAATGAGGTTGGCAGTAGCTCCTGTGAATAGGGCAGCTGTATTTGAATATGAAATTCAAAGAAAATTATTTATTTGAAATCAGTCAAGACATGTGGTGTACAATAATACCAAACATAAAAGGGAATCAAATATAGTGCTGTTGAAATCAGTAAGTCGACATTTTTTTCTAGAGTGATGTTTCATGTTGCATCAGCTTTATCAATTGCAATATACAATATCAGATTGCAAAATTTTAATGCATGAATTCATTTACTTCAAATGAATAATCAGTACTGTTTGATGAACCAAGGTTGGGATTTTGTAAACTTCTTCATTACACCTCTCTTTTGAGAGGAAATTTTCAGATATAGTGTAAAGTAGGAGAGATTTATTAATTGATCATCTGAGTACGTTTCATCTCTCTGGGACGTAAGGTAGCTAGAAGATCATTTGTCTCGTCTATACCATAAGTTTGTCTTCAATATGATAAAAGTATTTCTAGAAAAAATTTCAGATTTTTTCTAATATTTGGTTTTATATTTATATTGTCATACCGTAATGACAAGTAGGTGGAGAAGGATGACCATTTGTATCTTTACTGCGTATTTTTTCAGTTTGAAAATTATGGTCACAAATGATAGGAAATAGGAGGGCTCTGAGAAAGAATGGATCCTTCTTTTTATTGTGACATTTTGATATAAAAAAAATCTCGGTAAATTTTGTAATTAAACCAGATGGCAAGTGAAATGTTGTTTATCTCGTAATTTTGTCAATATTTGTAGTAAAGTTTTAAAATGAATGAAGGATTTTTGATGTCAGATCTTTGTTATTCAGACTGACAAGAGGACAATGATGAACTATTCTCTGAAATCTTCCATTACTGTGAAATGTGCAACTTTCTTTATGAATGTTTTTTAAACAAGAATAATGTCAAAGGAATCCAGTATCATTTAATGAACTTCTTACATAGTAAAGTACATAAATTTCAAGTTCCTTTATAAAGCAACAAGTCCTGACACGTATTTACCTTTATTACTACTATTTTCTGCCATTGTATATACTTTGTACATATTTCCTATGGTCAGGGAAAGGAGGGAAATAATACAAGGGGTTTTCATAACATGGAGAACTTACTAAGGGACCTTCAGCTGAAGTGGATGCGTAAATTTAAACCAAAGTTTCACACCTCATCACAGATTCTTCCTAAAGCTATTTAGGAAGGAAAGTATTATCTTGGGATTTTTTTTTCCTTTTCTTTTTTTCCATTAATGAGATTTTTTTCATCATCATCTTCCAGTATTTAAGGAGAGAAATCTCACAACTGTGCTTCAGTCATACTTATTTATAGCATCAGGAAGCCCAAAAGACAAAAAAATTATATTTAGAAAAAAAAGAAGCAACAAAAAAAATATATGATTATTTAGTGATGCTCAAAAAGAGAATATGCATATTTTTACTGCACAATAAATCTGTTCAAGGCTTAATTCAGTATGTATCATACCATTTCATATACTTTTCATCTATGCACTTTGTAATATTCATATCATGTATCATCCTTTGAGGATAGGTGTAATGAAATAAAGTTCTTTTTATAATATATTTTCTTTATAATAACCTCCAATCTATATTTCTTTGAAGACCAGCAGAAAACATAATTTCATTTCATATACAGACTTCACAAAAACACATGATAAATGTAACCAGTTCTGGCAACATACAAGCAAATGAATGCAACAGACAAAAATAGGATGGTAATCTTAGTATTAAATCCAGCTTTCTTCCAGAAAATTTGCACCTTGTTTACTGAAATTGGTTTGATGGAAATACAAGTAATCCTGAAACTGCATTTTATTTTTAAACTGTATGCTCTCTGACATGAGCACATAAAAGAATGTGTAATATATATTTTATATTATTTTATAAGATAAAGTTGTCTATCTTTATCTGTTCCATGAAATTATACACTAAAGGTCTTGCAAAGGTCTTACAGTAGTTCTTATAAGAATTCTCATGTCTTTCATTCTCACAGTGTATATACAAAAATCAGTACCTTACAAGCCATCACTGCCTGGAGAAAACATTGTCTTGCAACACAGAGTATTTACAAAAAAAAAAGTTCTAAGCATTTTCCCTTACATGTAAAAATAATATTGCTAACTTGAAACAAATTCTGAGTGTAGTTATGAGTTACACATGACAGCTTTTAACCCAATGCTGACAGGAAAATGTTGCATTCATTTCAGTATTTTGTTAAATGTTTTTGTGCATAGATAGCTCTGCCAGCAGAGGAGTCGATTAGATCTTTTGACCTCGCCTTTCCTTGAATAGCGGGAAAACACTTTTTTACTAATGCTATCAACATCGAAACTTATTTTTGGTATAAACATAATAATTTCTATATTGTTAGTGACATTACTAACAGCAGTATTCAATGCTAGAAAATATTGAAAATCAAGGAAAAGGGTAAACAGGTGAACAGGTAGTTCTTGTAATTGGCTCATTGGTGACTTCGTACACGTGGAGCCATCTATATGTAAAGACAATTACTAAATTGAACACACACTAGGCACAGCATGTACGCACATGCCATTCCCATCGGCAAAGGGTTAAATACTAAAAAATATTGAAAATCAAGGAAATGGGTAAATAGGTGATACGGGTATTTCTTTGTAACTGGCTCATTGGTGACTTAGTAATTATGGAGCCATCTATATTAAAAAACAATTACTAAATTAAACAAACAGTGGGCATAGCATGTATCCCCGGTGGCAAGTGGTTAATTTCAAATAAGTTTTTGGCCTATGACACAGAAACCTTGTTTACCTTTCAAGGTGTTGAAGTTTAGAGAGGCAATTTGTACAGAAATCAGAAGTCTACAGATTTCTTGCTATATCTTAGGTAACCTCAAAAAGGTCAGGTAATTATATGAAAGCTTTGCAATGAAATGCTTTGTTTCAAGCACAAAAAAGAGATCTGATACAACTTTTTAAATATCCCACTTAAAAGAGATTCAACTTTCTGATGTAATCTTTTATTTAACAAAATGAATCTTTGCTTGCAAAGAACCATCAGTGTTCTTTCTAGAGGTTACTTCTCAATATATCACCTCTGCACCTTTCCTATGTTGCTTCTCTTGTACATGTATTCATCATCAGAAAATGAGGTCCCTATGGTCCCTAATTTGCAATGGTGGAACAAATGGTGAAATAATAAATTTTTAAAAATGTAAATAAATTAAAAATCTGTCACTTGCATACCCACACTTTCAAGTACACCACTGGTTAATGACCATTGCACTTGTAATACTTTTGTACATTGGTTGCAGTTATAAAGTTCTTTCTTCAGTTTGGAGAGACAGCAAGTCTAAATTCTGACTGTACTTTAACTTACAATCAGTAGTTATGTCCATTCACACTTGATATTTCTTGTAGATGGTCAATGTCCCATTACTTGCTACAAGTTAAAAGCTCAAAGCACTTGACAAGAACATTGCTCTGTGGCATCCATAAAATCGCTATGCAATCCATACAAGAAAATTAGTCTAAATTTTCATTTTGGACTAGCATCATAAGCAGATGCTGTCAACAAATCCACATTTCCCACTTATTACAGCCGCTAATTTATACCCTAATACCACATGAATGAAACAATATATACATTTCCTAATCACCTTTAGATAAACATTAATACATTGATGACAATTAATGCACAAATGAGCTGGTTTGGTATGTCACAATTCTCAGTCTTTGTAACTGTACTCCAGTGATGTCTTCTGACTGCACTTACAAAAAACTGTGAAATAGTAACCCAAACATATAACTTTATCACAAAATAAATTACTTTTTTAGAATCATGGTCAGCTTTACTCAAAAACAATTTTAGCGCAACAGACACCATATTACAATATGTAATATCCAGACAGTATATGTGATGCATCACTATCTAAAACCAATTGAAGTTTGACAGTAATTGTTAATTTGCAAATTTTTGCATAAAAGTCTAGGACTAAGGGGTAACATTTATAGTATAATTGAAAGATACATTACCTTAATAGTGGGGGAATTTCAGTTAGTTTGTTAAAATTGTGCTAGGCATGACCCAATTGATATTCATATATACGGACATGCATATACACAAAAATAAATGCATATCTATCTATCTATCTGATAGATATATATTTATCTATCAATCTATCCAGTTATTTTGTAGGTCTTGACTGATAGATATGTATTTATTTCTGTGTATATGCAAAGCTGTACAATGAATATTCATTAGGTTGAGCCTCGCACAGTTCTAACAAACCAGTCGTATGATATGAAATTACTTGCAAAAATATCTACTAATACAAAATATCCTTTGAAATTAATTATAACTTCATTCCATTTCAAGATGCAAACTATAGAACAAGAGCAGATAAAACATTTCTTATGAAATAGGAATATTCATCTAAGTGAAAATAGCTGCCTAAAGCATATGCATACAATATATTAAATACCAAATTTAAGATATAATTGATTCAGACATATGTTTAATGCAGTTGCTATTTCCACTGCTTTACCATAGTAAAACAAGAACAACAATTTTGAAGTAAAGCATGCATTATATGAGTGGAAAGACTTAAATTTTAAAATATGGAAGGTAATTATTCACAATATATAACTTTAAAACTCTTTATTAATATTCAAATCATAAATATAACTCTAACTGTACTTACATCCTACAATTCAGTAGTAAACATTGACAAAATTAATGAAAAGTAAAAAAGGAAAAGAAAAGTCAAATATGCATGATCTGACACTTTTTTACAACAGTAAACAAGCATCAGCTGATTAAATGGGGTGTTTCGTTTATTTACAAAGTTTTGGAAAAGCCATCTTCTGGCCTTCCAGCACACCCCTATCACAGTTGTCTGCATATTCAGCATTTCAAGAAAGGGTCCACTATTTCTTTTCCCCAGATAAATTTCTGAAGTAATCTAGTTGGGTTTCTCTTATGGTTTCCTTTATCTTATTGCTGCCACTGACATCTGTCTGTCGGAGAAGATCTTTTTCTCTCTTTGAAATGTCTCCGATTAAATCGAGTCTAGAAACAGAGGAGAAATAGGAGACATTAAAATTGCTGACAAATGTACAAATTGATATATGCACTCCATTTTCCTTTGTTTGGTTGGCAGCCTTGGTTATGCTTACTGTTCTTTTGGTCATACAAACTTTTTGTGAAAACTTGGTGCAACATGCTGATGGCATTGGTGTATACAAAGTAAAGGTAGACAGTTAAGTGCATAATGCAGACAGTGCTAGGAGTGGTAGTGTAACACTTTAATGAAGTAACCATGCACCACTTTATTTTCATATAAACTGAGAGTAAACACTAAACTAAATGACTATATGGGAGAAGGAGGGAGGGAGGGAGGGAGGGAGGGAGGGAGGGAGAAAGGGAGGGAGGGAGGGAGGGAGAGGGAGGGAGGGAGGGAGGGAGGGAGGGAGGGAGAGTGGGAGTGGGAGTGGGAGTGGGAGTGGGAGGGGAGGAGGGGGGAGAGAGAGAGAGAGAGAGAAGAGAGAGAGAGAGAGAGAGAGAGAGAGAGAGAGAGAGAGAGAGAGAGAGAGAGAGAGAGAGAGAGGAGAGAGAGAGAGAGAGAGAGGGGGGGGGGGGGCAGGCAGGCTTCATTTCCTTGTCACACCTTTTTCATAAGTGATTGTGAGGTAAGGATTTGGGGGTGCAGTCATTTATAAAACCTATTTCATATATCTAACAAAATGGATTTTCCCCCCTCTGCTATTAGGGGAGGAAGAGAGGAAATTTGGAGGAAAAACAAGAATGGTATGAAGAGGAGGAAAAGAGGAAACGAAAATGGGAAAGAGAAACAACAGGAATCAGTTTTTAAAAAGGCAGTAAAACTTACTGACTCAAACCACTACCCTAGCAAACACACATTCAGTGCTCTAGCAAAGGCCAACAAATATGTACCACATCTATTCTGGCAAGAGAAAGATTCCTGGTAATTTATCACTGAATAAGGACCAAATCCAAGCTCTATTTGGTAATTCTTTACGGTAGGGATGCACTTGCCCGAGACTAAGTCCCCAACTCAATGTCACAAACTTTATTCTGCAGTCTAAATTGCTGACTGGGCATACTTGACTGCCCCAAGGAAGAGTTGATGAGGGGCCCAACACCCACTAGCAAACACTGTCTTCACTTCAGTATGCATGGAAAGATAGAGCTGAAACTCAGGAGTGCCAAGTGTACTGAGCTTGTGAGCACCACTTTCCATGATCTTTTTCTTTTATTTGTGAATTTACTGTTCTTGACTGCAAATTATTTCTTGTACTGACCACTATAACTTTTTGTCCTCTACAAGAGTACCATCATCAATTTACCCTAGCTTACTGCAGCCCTACTGTAAAGATTAACTATCTATTTTAACAAAATATGTATAGTAGAAGCTTGATGGCCATTGCGAGACAACAAAACTGCACAGGTAACAGCAATCCTTTGAATCACAGGTTGCATCAGTAAGCTTTACTCATAAGTCATAGAATATCATGAGAAAAGAATCATCTTATGAGAAAATGCAATTCACAAAGTATTAGACATACTAACCGAAAAGTATACACCAGTGACAACATGGCAAATATGCTGCCCATGACAAGGGGACGTCGATATTTTTGGAAGTCAAACCCCCTGAAAAGAAAAAGTAATCTTAGAATTTCTATCTACAAAGACTACACACGTAATGCTTAGGTCAGATGAAAAGCACATATACCAAATAGCATACAATCTTATATAGTGTTAAAGTGGATAAAGTGGCAGGACATCTGCACACATAGAAAATATATTTGATGTACATTTTCCCTCCTAACTAATGTTTACTCGATAAAAAAATAAATACTTTTGTACTCTACTATCATAAGGCCTACTTCATTTAATGAAAAATGGCAGGAAAAGGAACTAATGTCAATGTCAGTTACATTAGTAGTGTGTGAATATGATTTTCAAAAGTGACATTTTTTCGTATAGTCATACTAGCTTTGTTCTTCTCAAATCCACAATAAACTTGGTGTGGTCTGTGAATGAATGCCTACAGTATGAAGTTCAGGGCCACAGAAAAGTGATGTCAGGCCCCAGAGCAACTAGTGGATGTGAACCCTTGCTTTACTCTTGACATCAAAATGCTAATAAAGTGACTGGAACACTACAACTAAACCAAAAAGAACAAACTTTTTTGAGATACAAATAAAATTTGCAAAGATTTTCAAGAGAGAAAAACAGAAGGAAAAAGTACTTGCTAAATTATTTCAAAATGTATAAAACAAAGTGGATCCTAGGCCCTGAGGGAGCTGCCTTGCCTACTCTCCCCTCCAGTGGTTCTGGGAGGGAAGAGTAGTGGCGCAGTATTCAACAAAAATACACACAGACATGTAGCTACAAAGGGGATGTGAACCTCTAATAAAAATCTAGTACACCCAGGTGCCCTTAACTGTCATTCCTACTTTATGTAATCATGATTTACTTTTCTGTATTTTTTGTTTTATTTAAATATTCTGTGTATATCAGAAATTGTGAAGTGCCCTAATGCCCATCACTGATTTGATCTTGGAATAGGCCTATGCCCTGACATCTTTTGTGGCATCAGCATGCCATAGCCATATACCCAGCTATATCCCCTCTGCTGCCATTATAATACTAATACATTCTCTATCTTCATTCTCTCTTCTTTCCTATTTTCAGTAAGTCTACTGAGAAAGCATCACATGTTAAGAAGACAACTGATATCCAAAGATGAAAATACCATCTTATTTTTGTTTTTTTTGTTACAGACAAGACAATGGAATGACAATAACATAAACAAAAATTTCTACAATTTAAGTGAAACTTGAGACTTACAACATGAACTAATTCATAAAAATGGACCTTCCAGCTGAACACCTATTTCATACTGAAACCAAAAAGGCTTAACATACACTATAAAAGTTTACTAATAAAAATCCTTTAGTCAAATTTGCATACATGCTAGGTGTTATCCAAAGATAAACTAGGAATCCTATTTCACCACAGCAAAATGGTCAAAAGAAAATACATGTATCAATCTATCTACTTGATATAAAGATGTATACAAGTACTTATATATAGACTTGCTTGATATATCCCTGTGAGGGTAATATGAGAAATATGAATCGAGCCTAAATCACATGGTTATTGCATATTAAACAGAAATTACAGAGCAAGGATAAAGTCATCAATAAATACGCCTCGATCACAACAAACTTCTGGAACATTACATGTTTAAAACAGAGATCGGTAATGCAGTTTTTAAAGGATTTCGTAATGATGCTTTTCCCAATGTGTCTGCTCCGGCGAGGGTCCAGGTACACAGGCTGGCCAACATAACGGGACATATATGTAACCTGAAAAATAATAATAATAATTAGAAGCCCTAGTGAAGATATTTCCATACAAATACAGTTATTTCACTTAAACAGTAGAAAACTGAGCAGCAAATTTTATGTTTAAGGAGATATACCTAATTTTACCCCAACGATCACGATGATTGAAGTGTGTTGGTTGGCTAGCCTGCCTGATGTAAACACTGCATGGCGGCTCTTCCTTCGAGCACGTGAAATGGGTATCGTGGAGAGAAAGCAGAGAGTCTTTTATAAGAAGACCAAGAGAGAAATATTATCAATATGGACTATAGCGGTTTAGGTTTTCATAATGTTGTAGGTTATTGGTGTTTAACTTTATTACTTGGGTTTGACAGTGATACAAGTTGTAATCATATCACTCGTGTAGGTTTTGTGTTTATATGGAGTTGTTTTAATCATTTTTTAACAAAAATAAGGTTAAGCTTTTGTCATCATCTCATGTATCATTGGCAATATGATACAGAGATCATGTGAACACATATGAATTAATTGTGGTGTATGCAGGTACTGCAATCACAGGATAGCTGTTTGGCATAAATTTACATGATGCAACCAGCTTGGCTAAAGTTGCACAGATTTTGCCAGGCACTTGATTATTGCAAAGACGTTTTTCTTATAATGTACCTGTTACTTTTTCTGTCATTATATGTTAAGTAATTATGATAAGTATCCTAATCTTTTCACTGCAGTAGGTTGACTGAAGAATGATGATAAATTTTGTTGAAAGGAAAGATAAATAAAATGAAACAAAAATAAAATGCCATTATGTATTTCTTCAGTTAAT